CCTCTTGTAAAAGTTCTGAGCGGAAATGCAGCATAATAAATTCCCATCTCATCATGGTTGCCTGTCAGCTTGAAGCCCCTGCAGTGAGGTGAAGGGGAGAAGAGGGGGCCTGTGTCTCCTTACCAGAGCATGCTGGATCTCTAATGCCCCATTAGCATACCACACACTAGTGTTCTGCTTTTAATTAGTTACGTGGTGTGATAATTAAGTAGTGTTTCTCTACAATTTTCCTCTTGTTGCTGAGAGGAGGGGTGGGAGTTGTTCCGGGAGGGATGGTAGAAGTTGTTTTAACATTCTAAGTAATTGTGACCCTGGAGAGAACCAGCAAGCAAAATTTAAACTCTCTAAGGGAAGGGAGGAGAGCATTTTTGTTAGGTACTTTCCCCCCCACCAGCATGTATTTCAGATTTACTCCCTCCCCTTTGCAAATTCTCAAAGGGCAACAGAAGCCTCCTCTGAAATGGAATGCATACACATTTTTAAATCCTGGTGGGCCGCGGTGAGGTTGAACTTTGCCTAGATTGACAGCTGACTGGAACAGGATAGAAGTGAGGAAAAGGCTGAAGGAAAGAGGTGTGCTGATAAATAGGCTTCAAGGCATCTCCTCAAAATGTGGTGATGTTAATGACAGAGAAAGAGATACAGGCAAGGAGGGAGAGATTTGGACAAAGTTGCGGGTGGCACCATTGACCGGAATAGTAGTGGCTGCTGTACCTCATGGTCCTGGGGTTTAGTGTTGGAAGCCTGGACTGCCAAATTCAGGGTAGAGGTGTACTGTTGGAGGTACCAAGCTTACAGTGATGATAATAATAATAATAATAATAATAATAATAATAATAATAATAATTTATTATTTGTACCCCGCCCATCTGGCTGGGTTTCTCCAGCCACTCTGGGCGGCTTCCATAGAAACCAAAAATACACTAAAATATCACAGATTAAAAACTTCCCTGAGAATACTGGGATGGTGAGTAAGCACAAGAGGCTGGCGATGTACTGACAGGAGTGTAGACAGAGCCAACATTAGCGATAGGAATTGCAGAACACCTTCTAAGACCTCTTAAAGCTTGCCCTGCCATTAGTGAAAGTGAAGTAAGGTTTTCTCTATGTGGAATTGGGGAGGACATTTTGTCTCTTATGTCAAGCAGCAAAGCATCTTGGGCTGGCCTTGAGTCCTCTGCAGGGGGTCCACTGTCAAGAGCCTCCTGGCCCTTGATTCTCCCCACTGCTGTTCCCTGCTCACTTGCCACTTGCTTATTCAGCCATCCTTTCTCTCTGGCCCAGGGAAGGTGGAGAATGGTGACAAGAAGGAGCAGCAGCAGTAGCTGCTTCCTGCTTGCTTGCTCACTCATGCACTCACCAGGAAGTGAGCAGGCAACAGCAGTGAGGAGGAGAAGCAATGGGAGCATCTGGTGACAATGGAAGCAAGGAGGAGGGAGCCTACGGAGAGTGTCTTATCCAAGGACCCTTCAGAACTCAAGAGCAGGCAATGAGTGCAGATGTCTTACAGAAAGGAAGGTACTTTCTCACCAAAGGCATGCATTACTTTCACTAGATGAAACCATGGATTCCTCTTCTGGATGGCTCAGTTGGTTAGATTGTGGTGCTGAAAGCACTATGGTCGCTGGTTCAATCCCCATATGAGACAGCTGCATATTCTTGTATTGCGGGTGGTTGGACTAAATGATCCTCAGAGTCCCTCCCAACTCTGCAATTCTATGATTCTAATGGTCATGGCTTAGTAGTGGAGCATTTGCTTTGCGTACATAAGGTTCCAGATCCAATCCCTGGCATCTCCAGCTACAGCAGGGAGAGAAATTCTGTCTGAAACCTTGAAGAGTTGTTGCCAATCAGGGTAGGCAATACTGAGCTATAGATGGACCAATGGTCTCACTCAGAATAAGGTAGCTTCCTATGTTTCTGTGTTCCAGATGGTGCAACCTGCATTTGTCCTGCAACTTGATCCCTAAAAGAATAAGCTGGCAAAGTAGAGCACAGGCCAATAACCTAGCCAGATGTTCAGTAAATATTATGTTCCATGGACAGCTTCATTTATTTAAAGCATTTCTTGCCTGATTTTCATTCTAAACGCAATTCCAAAGTTGGTTACAATTAAAAGAGATAAAACCAGGTATAATGCAATACATTAAACAAAAGAGATAATTACAGCCAATTTCCTCTACCCCTACATTTTCAGGTGCAAGCTCCCTGTTATATTTTCCTATATTTATACCCTAATCAAAACCAGTTTGTCAATTCAACTAGGTGAAAAGCCATTACAAAAATAAATATAAATAAACTAAAAGCATGGTGAACTATTGAGCTTCAAAATGCAGACCAGGAGTTGCATATTTGAAAATTTATCCACATTAAAAACTACTCCCTGTGCAGCATCTCTTGGCCTGCTGCAGCAGCTAGGGAGGCCACCCACAAAAGGTGAAAAGGTGAAAGCATTCCGAGCAAGGCAATGGTGGTCACACAGTGTAAACCTGCTATCAAATTATTGTGTTATGACTCTACAGTGTGCAGATCATTGAGACTGGGAAACAGATGGTGATTCTGTCAGCCCTGCACATCCTTGGCACATGTGTGGATTTGAAGAGTTACAATATGGTGGAAGAGGCAGATGCAAGTTTGTTAGGATATAAAATCAAATGCAATTTCCTAATGAACTCGGCAACCACCACTTCCCTTAAATCTGTTCAAAACTGTTTCCATTTAATAGCTCCCCAATTACTGATCAGGAAATCAAGCCAAGAGGAGCCTTAAAATGCTGTGGGCAAATGCTCTGTTTTGGATATGAAGACACAGATGGCAGCCCTGGAAGACTCCTTTCAGAAAGCACCTTAAAGCCCAGGGGGAAATTGTCCATTTGCCAAGGATTTCTATAAATCATTAAATGTGTGCCTCAAACAAATCTGGCCCATTTCATTCTTTCATGTCAACATCAGATTTTCTAAGCTTTCCTACCTTTGTAAGTTTCATAATAGATAGAGAAATAGAGAGAATAATTAATGGATGAATTCCATGATGCACTGAGCTGTGCTAATTATTCTGACCTCAAAATTAAGTTGAGTCTACAACACATTTCCCACCACCATCCTTGTTTTTCTAAGCAGGTGTGCCCATGACAAGTGTAAACAGTTTTATGTTGGGTATTGACAGCCTGTACTTGTTTTGGTTAGGCGTGTCAGTGGTCAAAGTTTTATTCAACACAAAATCATGGAAACAGATCAGATTAGCCAGTAGAATCAAGAAAGGAAGGATGTGAAAAGAGAAGAGAAAGAGATACTGGTGATTCTACTCTACCTCAAGCCTGGAAGCACTCAACAAAACTCCAAGCCCTTTAATACTACCAAAGAAAGAGTTTTACCCTCAAGTCCTCAACCTGGTGCTCTCCAGAGTTTGGGGATTACAATTCCCATCACCCCCTTCCTCCACGAGGCACAAGGTGGCATGGGTCTTCACCACCACCACCATTTTATCTTCACATGCATCCTGTCAGGGAGGTTAGACAAGAGACAGTGACTGAACCACCTCAAAGTCTCAGAAGGGATTTTAATCTGGGTCTCTCTAGTCTTAATCCAACACTCAAACCACCATATGACTCTGGGTGGCTCCATAATCATGAAACTACAGCAGGGAGGAAAACTACTCTACTATCCTGTTATCTTTCCTCACTGTATTCCCAGTTTTAGTGACTGGTACAAGCAGTACTGCAAAAGCACATATATATCTAAAGAGCACACCAAGATCTGAAAGCAGGCAACCCAGATGACTGCTTCTCACAACCTAGAACTCTTAAAATAATAGGAGTGGTCAAAAAATTAATCAGTTTGTCCCATCAATATTATATTATATTCTCATTTCAATTAGAAATAATAGTAGTTTCAAAAAGGCTGCATACATTGCATATATGAATATCCATTTCATGGTGGAACTGCTCCCCTGTATAACCAATTTAATAAATCCTAATGACAGAAATACACTGTCAGCTCCCTTGCTGGAGAATCTACTTACTATGCAAACAGGCTCAGTAAATGTTATGCATGATCCATGAAATGTTGAACTCTGCATTGACATACATGACCAACTACAAAGGTGTAGGAATAAAAGGTTATCTGGGCTTTCAGTGCACTGGTACAGGGGATGATGTTCTGTCAGCAAAGAAAGAGCATTAGGACTGAAATAAAAACCTGTGCAAGTTTCAAATGTGGTGACATTTGAATGCTAGTGTCATATTTTTACATCAAAATTAATTCTTGGGTGAAAATTGTCAAAATCCAGATTGAGGTAAAAAGTCTCTTAATTGAACTCTGAATGCCAAGAGTTTCAAGGGATGATAATCATTGGGTAATTGCATGTGAAAGCATCATAAAGGTAATTGGCAGCATGTGCTTATCAGTCTTCTGGTCGTTTGGTAATTCAGAGGTTCATGAAATGGCATTGCCCAGACTACAGTTGTAGCTCCATTCCTACAAACATGCGACACTTAATTTCTGCTCCTCTGTGCTTGCTTTTGCCTACTGATGTGTATATGTCTTACAAAATTTGTTTCATCTTCAACCCAAAAATACATATCACCACCATGGCCCAAGTTGTTTATACAGTTCCTTCTGTTCTTACGCACTACAACAGCTTGCAGTTCACGCAGAGATTAGCATTTGGGAGCTGGGGGGGGTGGATAAACCTGTGATTACTTTGCTTTCAGATTTTCAAGAGCATATGCTATAACTTGTCCCAAATGATCCTTTGTGAATCAGAACTCAAGAGAGTGTTTCACTGATTCTTCAGGGACACAACCACAATATAGAAATTGTGAAGGAGATTTCGTAACTACAGAAAACACAAAAGCTAGTTTTCTATTACGGGAAACACAAATTAAACCAGAAGGGCCTTCCAAACACTTCTTGTCCTTGCTTTGTGTGACACCTATCATAGAATCAGAAGGGACCATGAGGGTCATCTAGTCCAACCCCCTGCAATGCAGGATTTGTTTTTGTTTTTCCTTTGTGGGGCTTCAACCCATGACCCTGAGATTAAGAACCACATGCTCTACCAACTGAGCTATCCCATTACAGAAGTTTCACGTTTTCTGAAGAAGGCCTAAAGTGACCCGGTAATACTGTCCTACATTCGTTTTTATAAAGTACAGTGGTACCTCGGGTTAAGAACCTAATTCGTTCCGGAGGTCCATTCTTAACCTGAAACTGTTCTTAACCTGAGGTACCACTTTAGCTAATGGGGCCTCCCGCTGCCACAGTGCCACCACCATGCGATTTCTGATCTCATCCTGTAGCAAAGTTCTTAACCCAAGGTACTATTTCTGGGTAACCTGAAGTGTCTGTAACCCGAGGTACCACTGTAACTTTTCCATTGTACACTTTGCACAGATATTCCAACCTGAACAGAAAAGGAGGCAGAAAAGAAAGAGCTAGGTCATGCACATGTGTAAGTCAGATGACTGTTAAATATATATAAATTCATGGTGAAATATACACAACTATGTGGGAGGCAGAACTGGTCACTGGTCACTGTAGTGACTGACTGGGGATATTTAAACACAACCTTCCTTCTCCATGCCATTGATTTATTAACCATCCTTCTCCAAAATGGCGGGGAACAACAATTTAAAACCTAACATTAAAAACACTTTTAAACAAATTATAGTCACAGAAATAGGGTGGGCCTTAAAAATATGCATCTCAGGTGGCAAAGGCCAGGGTAAAGAGGTGTGTCTTTAGCATTTGCTGCAAACTGAAATGTGAAGGTGCACCTCTGTGGGGAGAAAGTTTTACAACTTGGGAGCTGTCACAGAGAATGCCCTCTCCCAGGCCACCTCCATCCCAAATTTCTGAGGGAGCATTATCAAATTTACTGACTGGATGCCTTAAATGGCTGTCCCAGCATTTAGTTGCAAGTGCCCAAGAGTTTCTTTACAACTGCCCACCTGAAGAACAATTCCCCTGAGCACGTTTGCTGTACGATAAAACTGTTGTAATGTGAGAATCACACAAGTTCACCAGTGGATTCCAGTAGCAAGGTTGTCAGGTGGAGACTCAGCAAAAGCTCATGTCAGAGGAGAAGCATATATCACTAGGCAGCTTTAGCAAAACTAGAGTTATAATACTGTTTTTCCTTCTGGGTACCTTCACAGTGGACAGATGTAGATGAATTGGAGGGAATTCAGAGAACAGCAACAAGGATGATTAAAGGGCTCAAGGGATTGACTTATTAGGGAAGAAGATTAAAGGAACTAAATATGTCTAGGTTGGCTAAATGGTAACTTAAGACGGGACATGAATTATAACTACCTAGATGTGTTTGAAGGATGTAATCAGCAAGGAAAGAGAGATTTTCCAGGGTGGTTCAAAGGAGAGGACATAGCATCTTAGGGAAGCATTTAGCCTGAGCATTAGACAAAAGTGTGATGGAAAAAACTCTGAGAAAAATGATGCAATTTTGTTGACTATATTTTAATACCTGTACATATTAGTTATGCTTAGACAAAATATGTAATCATTTGTATATTTAGAGTTACAAGCAGGTCCACCTTTGTATCTGAACTCGCATGGCAAGTGCTGACAAAAACTAGAGCCAAAACTAGCGTCATTGTGAAACAACAGAGAGATAGCAGCATCCCTGGGGAAAACCAAATGCACAGTATTGACCAATGAGGACCGAACATGCTCACAAGTTTTGGAATGTTAGGAAAGTTCTTCCTCTTTGCATGTAGATTTTACTCATGAGCAGAATGCCTGAATAGTCTGAACATCTTGCAGAAATGTGCTTTGGGTGCACAACTGTACAGTGGTTACAGTTAAGCAACTGCTGATACAGTTTATAGGATTTGATTTGGTTTCCATCTGGATGTTTTAGTGATTGGAGTTCTTCAATGCCGTTGCCTTCTTCAGAATGGGCCAGTAGACTTGGGCAGCGGGAACACACCTTTGGGAATTAAATTCGGTATTGCTTTAGCTCAGACATGTTGTTGATCTGTGCTGAAGAAAACAGGGAAGACAGGGAAGTGTCCACAATCAGAAAACCTGCAGAGATGGAGCTATCACTGCAGATAGCATTAGCTGAAAGGTAAGAAGAAGCCACACCAAGGAGTAACAGTAGTATGAAAGGGATGGGAATAGTCAGATTGCTGAGCCGTAGGAGGAAAGCAGAAGTGATTATGAGGTTTTTTGTGTTTTAATATTTTGTTGGAAGCCACCCTGAGTGGCTGGGGTGACCCAGTCAAATGAGAGGCATATAAATAATAAAATAATTATAATTTGGCTAGGCTACAGGGCAAATTATCCAAGCTACCCCTGGAGCAGGTAAGAACAAGCACAATAACATGAAGGCTGTATCTGGAAGTTTTTAATGTTTGACATTTTATTATGTTTTTATATTTGTTGGAAGCCACCCAGAGTGGCTGGGGAAACCCAGCCAGATGTGTGTGGTATCGATATCATCATCATCCAGAAGGTAGTGCGGTGCCAGGTGTGAGGCAGGGCCCGTTTTTATGCCCTGGGGGTGGACTTGGGTAGAGTCCTCTGTGGACCCAGTCAGGCCCACCCTCCAGAGTGAGTCCAGAGTGAGTCATTGGCCCAATCTGGCAGGCAGGCTGAATTCAAAACTATCTAACCAGAGGGAGAGCCAGGAGCATCTCCCTGTGGTTGCAATTCCCCGGCTGTTGTGGCTGCGGGCTGGCTCTGTCCTGCAAAGCTGCCCACTTCAAAGGTAAGCTGTATTCTGGAATGGGCTGATCTGAACATAACATTTTGCTGCTGCTGCTGTTATTATTACTGTTATTACTACATCAGCATCAATAAAGGTAAAGGTACCCCTGCCCGTACGGGCCAGTCTTGACAGACTCTAGGGTTGTGCGCTCATCTCACTCTAAAGGCCAGGAGCCAGCGCTGTCCAGAGACACTTCCGGGTCACGTGGGCAGCGTGACAAAGCCGCATCTGGCGAGCCAGCGCAGCACACGGAAACGCCGTTTACCTTCCTGCCAGTAAGCGGTCCCTATTTATCTACTTGCACCCGGGGGTGCTTTCGAACTGCTAGGTTGGCAGGCGCTGGGACTGAGCAACGGGAGCGCACCCCGCCGCGGGGATTCGAACCGCCGACCTTTCGATCGGCAAGCCCTAGGCGCTGAGGCTTTTACCCACAGCGCCACCCGCGTCCCGTCTCAGCATGAATACCTTCATGCTAATTTCTTCTTCAGGTTCTTCTTCAGAGTAGCATGCATAGGATTGTGCTTCAAATGGTCAAGATCCAAGGACCAAACTCCTTTATGCATCCCACTGATTTCACTGAGAAAGGCTTAAAGTATGTGTTTAAATGCAACAAGCTGTGCTTTGCTGTTGCTGGGTCATGAACAAATAATTAGACTTTAAAAGATGTTGGTACCTATTGGAAGTGTAATTATTAAATATTATTCTTACTGTTGTTAGTGCTAAAATGGTTTTACCTAGTATTAGGCTGCTGCAGTTAATATTGCTAGTGTAATCTTCAGAACTAAATAAACCACAGATTGCCCTGCTAGATCTGTTCTGCTATCCTCCTTAGCATGGCAGGGCAGTGGAGTGGAGATGAAGCTTCAGGAGAGAGCCTCTATTAAGCAATCGATTCCCATGAGCGATTCTCATTAGTGTTTCTTCCTCCTGTAAAGAACAATGATCTAGAGCAACTTCCTCCAGGTATCCGGCTAATAAATGTATGATAACCTATGTAATTTCATCTTGCTAATAGGATAAGCAGTCTTTGATTAAGGAGTGCTGTACTTTCATCCTTTCTTTCCCCGCTTGTAGGATAGTCATTAACAACAGATGCGGGGTACAATCAATATTCTGGAAATTCTTGGAGCAAGTCCACAAATTACTTTGAGCCACTTTTTTCATTTAGGTGAGTGGTCGCCATGCATAAACACCATGATGTGTGTGAGCGAGCAGCTCACAGTTCTCAGTCATACTAACTTCCATTCTCTTTGAAGTTCAAAAATATAACTAAGAGAGGAGATCGCAAAACTGTCATAGCTGGTATCTGTGAAGTATAGGCTCATGTTACAGTGTCACACTCATCAAATGGGTAAGGCAATGGTCAGAGGAAAAAAGAAGAATTTACCCACATTGCATTTCATTGGTTTGGCCAACACACACGTGAATCCAAATGGAGGCTCGCCAAGGATGTTATGGTAACACTCTGCACTGTGGAGTGATGGAGCAGACTGTTGGGATTGCCATTTCTTCTCTGGTTAGTGAGGGTGTTAGGTATTGAGCAAGAGCATTCAGTGGTAGTGTAGCAGAACTGGGGGGAAATGGACTAAGTGGACATGTTGTCTGGGTCTGATGTCCTCAGACAAATCTGGGAACCACGTTGGAAAATGGAATTCACCTAATAACAGGGATGGACAAATCTGCCAGTTTCTCATTTGTCTAACCTTAAATTCAGTTCACCACATTTCTGCATCAGTTTGTGATTATTTTTAAAAGCACTAACAAAATTTTATCAGCACTTTAATGTGTTTTTCTTCTAATATATATGTTTTTACATGCAGTTTTGTGCATATACATACTTTTGCAAGCAATGTGCATTTTTGTATGCTATTTTCCCCAATATATGGATTTTAATGCACATTTTTTTTCTAATAAACGTGTTTGGTCTGGATGTGTAGAACTGCATTGCAAAATTCAGGAAAGTGCAAATTTCCAAGGATAGCTGCCCACATTGTTTTTGGAAGTAGTGAGTTAGATTAAAATGTGAACAAAACTGAATTTCTTCCACAGCCTTCCCTATTATGGAATAAGCAGTTTAGCTAAATAACCCAAACTAATTTTGTGAGCTTAGTGACACCTACCACTTCATTTTTGTGAAGTCTTTTGTAAACACCTGTAGATGCTTAGTTTCAGTAAGCAGTATATAATCATTGCTAATATCCCCTCTAGATGTAAGTTTTTCCAGTCTGTTGATGTTCAGTCTTGTCTCTGACACCAATGCCTTTGTCCTGGCTTGTTTTTTTCCCCCTTCTTGCCCCATTTCATAAGCACAAATATACTATCAATTTTGTCCAAAGTTTTGG